CTCTCGTTTTATTTACAAATTAACAAAATTTCAAAAAATAAATGAACTTGATTGGCTGCCGGTAGACCAAATATACTATTATTTCTTGTCAGTCAGTGTTCATATACAGGGTGTTCCATTTTTATTGTTACAAATTTAATCAGGTGATAGAATATTCAATTTTAAGATAAAAATTCCCTATAAACATATATCGAAAAATTTTATATAAGGGAGCCACATCCCCTGAGAGGGGTGCATCTTTTAATAGATTTTTTCCAATATTTCAGAAAACATTGTGGATAAAATACAAAATTTGGTACAACTGATAACCTTTATACACCCAAATGAATTCAAAGATAAAATGTCGAAATTGGGGGGTTTAAGGTAAAAAGGACCCTAACTATTTTGGCGGTTGGTTTTTGTCACTTTCAGTAACGAAATTCTAAATTTCATAATTTTTTTACAAAAAAAAGGTCTCTTGCGTTTTTTCGATAAAACTTACCGTTTTTAAATAAAGTCAGTTTACAATTTGTCTTACAGACCATAATAGGATAAAAATTAAAAATTAAATTTGTATCATCGTTTAAGAAACCCGTGATTAAAAATTTCGACAACTGATCTTTAAATTCGTTAAGGTGTTTAAAAGTAATCAGCAGCACCAATTCTTGTAATTTTAACTATTCTGCAATAGTGGGAAAACCCCATTAAAAACGCATCTCTTTCAGGGGGTGTAGTTCGATTACGTAACATTTTTTGATACATATTCATACGAAACTTTTGTCTTAAAATTGAATATTCTATCACCTGTTTAAGTTTATAACAATAAAAACGGAACAACCCTGTATAAAATGTTTATTACTGCTTCACCACCCTATCTCCGTGAAATATTTCATTCGAGAAAAAGTTGTCATAAAGTTTCTGTTCGTAATATTGCTGACCTGTCATTACCAAAGTTTAAAAAAGCAATATTTAAAAGATCTCTCTCTTACAATACAATAAAGTTATATAATTCATCTGATTTGTTTAAAGAAAAACTTTCAGTGAACAATATTCGCAAAATGATAAAAATACATTTTTTTGACTTCTAGTTTTTTGTTATTAAACTGTAATGCAATTTTTCATTTTTCTTTTTTTGTTTTGTTTAGGGGGTTAAGTATGAATAGCAATTGCTAGACTTCGCCTCCCGAGTTGTAGTTACTTGTACTTACAATTCAATAAAGCCGCTTTATTATTATTATGATTATTATTATTATTATATAACAACATAAGTAGGTATAGTTTCTTGAGAGTAAAATTCTGTTGGAAGTTATTTGAGAAACAAAATTTTTGCTGTCTAACACAAAAATGCCATGTTCATAATTTACTTAAAACATTTTACTTGATAAGTTATCACAACCACATTTTTCATCTACAAGTGTTCCATTTTTATTGCTACAGGTTATAGAATATTCAGTTTTAAGACAAAAGTTTCCTATAAACATGCATCGAAAAATACTGTCGTGTAAGGGAGGTACACCCCCTGAAAGGTGTGTGTTTTAATGGAATTTCTCAATATTTCATAAACCATTTTAAAGTCGCGTTCAATTCATAATGGTCACTTCCCTGTATAAATTTGTAAAAATTGAGTTGTGTAAATCCGATTTTAAATATCCAATTGTTTTTTTAGGGACATATCTATCAAAAATAATAATTCTGAAAAACTTCACAATTGTTGACACAAATTAGTTACTTCTGCTGCCAACATAGACACAATCCACACACTAGAGGTGGCGGGCTGAGGGCCGCCAACTTTGCAGTAAATTAAATGGCCACTATGAATTGACTGCGACTTTGATAAAATTACAAAATTTGTTACAGTTGATAATTCTTATAAATGAATTCAAAGATCAAATGTCGAAATTTTAATTCAAGGGCGTCCTAAACTGTGAGAGTATAGGCTATAGGATAAAAAGTACCTTAACTATTTTGGCTATACAGGGTGCGTCAGGAAGATGGAAAAAATGTTTAAAAAATTCGAAGTATAAAAATTTCGTAGTTTAAATTTTGCACTTCGACTCTATGTCTTGTAAAAATAATTTTCAAAGTTTTTTTTGCTACAAGCTATTAGAAGAGGAAACCAGGAAGCTGTATCCTAAATTGTAACTCTGTTTAATGATATTTGTGGCTTTTATTGGCAAAATTTTTGTACCTTTACTAAATAATTATAAAAAAACATATACTTACAAGATCGTCAGTATCATTAAATAGACATAAAAAAATGTCAAATGTCAAAATTTTTTGATATATACATTTTTTTTAACATTTTTTCCATGTTCTTGGTAGGTATCTTATCTTACTTGATATTTGTCTCTAGGGCGCGAGTTCTGACACATCCTGTAGTTTCTTGCCACTTTCAGCAACAAAATCTTAAATTCCATAATTTTTCACAAAAAAAAGATCTCTTGCACAACTTACCGAAAATCAATTAAAAAAAAACTATGTTACAGGCCATAAACAAAATTAATTTTTTTTTTACCTTATACCCCCTGAGTCTGATTAAAAATTTCGATTTGTCGTAAAATTTAATATTCTATGAACTGTTTTAATTTGTAACAATAAAAACGGAATATGTTGAACTGTAGACAATACTTGTGCAAGTCCGAGCCTTGGGTCCCATTAACAACTTTTATAATGTGTTCTTTGCCTTTTTCGGAAATACACGAGTGGCTACTATTTATATCCGAGGACCTTTTCGTATCGACTATTCTTTATTGTTTACCGAAAACGGTAAATTTTACCACGTGTTTTGCTACCACAATAACTCAGTTGTTCAAGAAAGTTATTGTGCATTAGTGTTTACTAAAACAAGAAAAATTCGTGTTCTTACCAACGGTGTAAATTAGGTCACTCAACAAAAATAAAAATTAACGGGTTAAACGTTTTTTAAGCTCCTTAATGCAGTTAAACTTGGCAATATATCAAGATTTTGGAAAACAAATTTATTTAAATGAAAACATCAATTAATTTCTTGATGCATTATAATCCATGGCCTGGATAACACAAGAAAATAATTTTTATTTACAGAGATGGAAGGAATCTCGTATAAAATTGAACAAATCATGTTTTGACTGAGAATCCATCACCTTGTCTACTGTTTTTAGTCGACAATTTCGTCCTTAATGATTATTGCTCTCGGAGAATAGCAACACGATATTCCCAAGTCATCACTTCGTATCTCCGTTGTCAAATTACAATAATGATATAGATGCGTTATTTCGAAATGGTAAATATTTGTGTCTATCGGCACAAAGTGTTAATTCCCGTTAGGACAAGCAGCCCGATATAACAATTTGAGATTTGAGATACAATCTGCAATATCCACGAAGAGTGATTTACCAACATCGACCATCTGGTTGTTGACCTTGTAACTTGTTAGATAATGGTTTCGTATATGGATTACCACCACGTTTCCCGTGTTTTCCGATATTGGGCATGATTTTTCTCAAGTTTGTTCGTGGGAAACCAGTTTAAAACAATTACGATAATGTATCTTTCACCATCTGACTATAAAACATTTCAATGCGTGCAAGATCACAGGACTTGACCATTTTATCGCACGCCACAAATAATTACTCTTTTTATTTTCTTTATTTCTCTTCGTCTTATTCGTGTTTGCATTACAGTTTCATCACGGAACGTTATTTTTACAAATGGCTGACTCCTTTGGCGGTTATCTAAATGGACATTCCTCCAGTCTATTTCACGATAAGCCAGCATTAATCAGACTTCTAAATATAATTTTTCTATCGAATAGGTAGATTACACACTGGAGACTTTTAATCAAAAACTTACCAAATTTCAGTCATGCGTTTGATTCAAATGCCATTAACGAAACAATAATGGTCATGATACCGGAAAAAAAAACTATTGATAAAGTATTTATGAGCAACATTTTTACTTAATAGGTTGGTAGCCGTGCAAGTGCGTGTGTAACGACAATACGCGTGCTATGGTTAGCATAAAATACACTTGGTATGGAAATAGTAACACATATGTAGGGGCCTTGAATTATTTGTTTCTCTTCATCACGGAATACTTATTCGAAAATGAATAATACTTGGAAATGCATTCACCAAATACTTTATTATGGATGAATAAATATGTTTTATGTCATGTCTTTTAATTATTTTAATTCTATAGTTGAAATGCGCTTTTTTATCGTTGGAATGGCTTATTTTTAAGTGTCGCATTTAAACCAAACTAGCTCTAAATTTTATGTTGAATTTTATTGATGAACCTGTCCGAGTAAAAATTTATAGTATCCATTAAAGCAGGACCTTTAAAACTCAACAGTCACAAAGGTAAATCTCCTAAAAGTAAGTCTTTGAAATGATTGTTAATACTGCTTATAGCTTTAAAGTCCGGGTTTTTAGTTTTTATATCGTTTAAGTATCGACCAGTGGGGCTGAAATTGATGCTTCTTAGTATCTCGAAAATAAACAAATTACAATTCTCGGGCGTTTATAAATTATTAAAAGCACAGGGCGGAAAAGCTCGGAACATTAAATATTTCAATTTTCGCGGAATGTCGTTAAGAGTATCATAAAGTAAGAAGGTCGCGGTGACGAGAAGCAGTTATCGTCAAACTTAGCAGCATAGAGCTTGTATTTAGTAGCTCTAAAACAACAAACTGTAAAATATAAGCCCCCTATTAAGATTACACTTTATAATCTACGTGTAGCAATGTTATTATTTTAGCATTACAACTGGGCGATTTTAATTTCAGGAGCAAATTAAATTTGATTCATAAATTCACCTGACGTATATTTACACGACAAAATCCTCTGTTATCGTGTACACGATTTAGTTACGCTAAGTCGTGGCAACGACGACGACGACTATCGTTTCCACAGTCATAAGATTTTATTGCTGTTGTGTTGGTATAGCGTACACAAGTCCTTTATCAAATACAATTATCTCGTTTAATTATTTCAGTTTGAAATTTAAGTTGAGAAGGATTCGGTGTGAAAGTAATTAGAAAATTAAATTGAAAAAATCTTTTATTGGGCATATAATTAATATATTTAACAGCAACTACAATACAAAATTTACACACTATATAATAACTTTAATATAGTAATATGAATATAATACATGGGTCTACAAAAATGCAGGGATTTTTATGATACATCAAGATAATATGCAAAAATATTGCTAAATTTGTAATCTCTCAATCGTTTACCAGAACAAAAAGGGTCAACAATGCCACAAAAAGTAACGTTTTTTACAATAGGGTCTGGTTCGACGCCGCACTGTGACATCATATGCAAAGAACGTTGAAATAATTGAGTCTCACAGTAGGATGTCGTTCAAGACTTGTAGCGATAGTTATTGCAATTATTTAAAATGATTGCATAAACAGTACGTTTCAACAAAAACAATTTTTACATGAGCAAATCTATACACGTTATATACAAGTCGCGAAATACAAGAGCAGAGCCGAGTTCTTGAAGACAGTCGAACCAAAAAACGGCAATGAACTTAAAATTTAAAAGTTATTATCGACTCGCAGCTCATAACCAGTATAGCTCAACATAAAAACCTACAATCTAAGTCAGTCAGCGACACGTCTCAGCCAACTCTGCACTTGCATCGCATGAACAAACATTGGGTACAAAAATACACCGAATATGTTATCTTCTACATTTTCATACTGTACCAGGCCTCATAAAATTTTAAAATTCGAAAACTCTTATAATACGGACAGTCCGATCTAACTTTAAATATTATCGTAAAAGTTTAATCTAGTACATTGAAAGCACACGTAGAGCGTTGGTCGTGCCTCAATATCATGTTATTATAGAAGAATATCGATGTCGCTCGCTACTCTATTATTTTTGAAAAAATTTTTTCTTATTATTACAAAGTTTGTGCATTGACTTTAAGATTTGAACGGAAACAAGTTTTAAGCGTATCTGGAACGAGGCAGCGAGAGAAACAATAATTTGTGCAACAGAGTTTGATGGACGAGATAAAGTAAAACCGAATGCCCAAGTCGTTGACAGCAGTAGCACAACCCTATAGCCTATTTGGATATCTTACTGTTAATATCAACTCCTACCACTAACAAACCCACAGTGCTCACTTAAATAACCTGTACAAGATTTTAGGACCATTAAGTACAATTCTGGACGAACGAATCAGAAAGCAATACAAGATTTTTTTTTCTTTCAAATTTGACGAATAAGATACAAGATGAGTTGCGTTCGCGGTTGGCAGTAACGAAACAATCAGCTGTATGCCGTCGTCGCGAACTAATTAACAAAGCTAGAGGCGGAAAAACTACACTGACTTTTGACAACTAAATATTGGTCATCAAACAGATGAATCACAGCCTGATTTTGTGTCCCGTCGCCACCAACAAATGTACAAAATGGCAGCCGGCGGAATTTTACAAGTATCGAAACTAATGACGGGCGACCCGGGTAATGTCCGACATATCATACTGAACTAGGCACTAACAACTGGTTGAATCCGGGAGTACGTATGATGATGATGATGAATGAACGAAACACTGACGCGCTACTATATGATAAATATAAAAAATAAACACAAGATGAGATCATTTATCGGGGTTAAATAATATTTATAAAACATCATCGACCTGGCCGGCTCGACAACTTGAGCTGGTAGAGCAATTGAAACCGTGTGTCTTCATCCTAGAGATGATAACAATGATTGTATGCGCCAACACACGAATTGGATTAACACAGTCTTATAAGTCTCCTCGTTCAACAATTGAATACACCGTCGCTCCAAGGGGAGCCCCCCAGACTTGAGAAAATGGGGATGTCTCTCGGACAATCAAAATCCAGATGCGATCCGGAACCGTTCGATCCACTGTCCATGATCTCGATGTCTGCCAACTCCTGCAGATCAATCTCCATAGGTTGCAACAAATTAAAATCGTCGATCCTGTCCAGATCATCAAGAGTGGCAGTGGAACCATGAGTGAGCCTGTCTTCAGCCTCGTGGTGCAACGGCGCCAATGAATCGTCGTAAATTGTGGCGCTTTCCGGGGAGTCCGGAATATCGCAAGAAGGACTAGATGGCACCTTTGCCAAAATGCTCACAGGTGGCAGTGGAAGGGGCGTCATCACCGGCGATAAATCTAACCTCTCTTTCAATTTCGAACTCGTCGACTCGGGTAAAGCAGAACGTCTGGCGTATAATCTTTCTTTAACGATTGCATTGCTGTTATTACTACTGTTGTTATTATTATCGTTCTTTTGGACTTTTGGGGACTTTTTGGACGATTTCTTGGAGGAAGTCGCCGATTTGGGAGCTGGTTTCGTCGTCTTTTTTCGAGGACGGTATTTGTAATCTGGATATTCTCTCTGATGCAGTTGTCGAAGCCTTTCAGCTTCCTCAATAAACGGTTGACGTTCGTCATCTTTCAATTCTTTCCAACGACGACCAAGTTTCTTTGAAATTTCAGCATTGTGCATGTCTGGTTGAACTTCGCAAATTTTTCTACGCTCGATCTGAGACCATACCATAAACGCATTCATGGGTCTTTTGATGTGGTTTGGATTGTTCTTTTTAGTCTGCAACAATAAGAAACATTCATCAGTAAACATTTCAACAATTAATGGAAATTAATCAATCAATCACACTAGAAATGTGTTGTTCTAACAACACAATCAAGGACAGTGATACAATACTGTCCAAATAAGGCTAGTGTCCTTTCACGAGCGATTCTCATCTCATGCGCAAACCCGGAAATAACACACCAAACACAGTCTTCACGTTCACCTCGTATCAAGGATTCGACGACATACGTGATAAACGTACTAAGACATGTTTGTACACGTGTGTATCGACAAACGCTAAAACACCGACTAGTGACTACCGCAAAATATCCCGTTCTACATTAGATAATTTTCATACTTTCTTGATATTACATATTAAACTCTTCTCGAGGTCAGTTTAGTAGAAAGTTAATTTGATAAACCCTTGTTGTTTGTTGGAAATTGCCAATCGTCACAACGCGAGTAATTGCTTTTGAGTAAATGGAAAAAGGAGCTTTCAGCAATCGGGTTATGAAAGTGTTTCAATGCACAACACCGCGTCAATGGGGGTCTCGCATTCGCAGTGCAAACAATCCAAGGATAAATCCTTCTATGCCCTAGTTGTTGAAACCTTGCAGAAGAAAATAACATAAAAGCTCGCCGTGTGTCGCAGATGATGAGAGCAGGAAAGAAGATGACCCATTGTTGTAGGTAAATAGGGGCATTAAGGTCGCAAAGTTTGGTCGTGAACAGCTGAACGGTTTTAGCATGACATATTCGGGTCACGTGTGGCGCCTCTGTCATGGCGGACACGCACAAAACCATTCGTATGGTGCTCACGCACAAGTCCGATGAGTTTGCATGTTTTTGCAACCGTTCATTGGAATATATTAAAATTTTGATTTTTCACGCAACCCGTGCGCGTAATAAATTTGTTTTTATTCGATTAATTGCCAAAGCTCGATTCCGCAAATTTGTACAAGAAATCGCATTCAAATAACGAGGAAATTACCATAATCGAATTGTGTAATGTTTTAATTAGGACCGACGATGATGGAAAACCTTTGCTAACTCCGCACCTTGGCCCGATTTGATAATTATACCGATTTGATACGCATCGACGAACAGACGAAAATTAAAAATATGGGTACGTACTTGCAATTACAACAGGCTTTAATTAGTTTTTATTGCGACAAGAGGCAATGCATGAGCGCAGTGAAATCGATACCAAACACAATCTATTTATAAGGAGTATTTTTTACTACCGAACCGAATACAACGAAACAGGGAAGCCATACATAAAGTCTGTTTTTTTTTTTAATGGAAATGCAGTCTTAACGTTGGCATCACTAGTGAATTCATTCATGGTAATTTTAATTAAGGAAGTTGGCAGTTCCGGTTTTTGAATTAATTTGAAAACAATGTCATTAAACGTCAACACAAAAAAATCGTCTAAGAAAATTTAGAGACGAAACACAAAAAAAAAACAAATTCGGTACACTAACGGTTTTTAGAAATTTGGAAACGAATAGTTCGCAAGCAAGAAGTTAGAAAAAGGCCCGTTAAAATCTAGACGCAATTTGTAATGCAGGTTTGCTAAACATTCTCAAATTTTAGAAGGAAATTGACAAGAACACAAAATAAACATAATTGAGAAACAACCTCGGAAAGAAGCTCATTTCAATAAATTACACAAAATTTATTGCCAATCATCATAATACCCACTTGTATCTTTTGCTAAATAGCTTTTTTCTGAATATACATTCTTTTTTATCAAATTTTTTGTAGCAAGAATCTCATTTTTGTCCACAACATTGTAGTTACTTGCAGTGTGTTTCTATCAAAATTTTTAGCACTAAATTCTGTCTTGAGATCTTAGGTAATGATTTCTGTCCTCAGGTATTCAATTATAGCACTTTCAAAGAGCAAACAGGCACACAAGATTCATAAAAGTCAAAATTTTGACAACATCTCAATTTGAAAACATAACTATAATTTTTTAACAAAATTTCTAGGGACAAAAACAAAGAGCAAACAAAATTTGTGGTTATGGAGACAAGCTGCTACCAATTTTTTCACCAAAACTTTGACTTGGTAATTTCCATTTACATACGTGTCCAAACATTTCAATTAAAAAATTTACTTTCTCCAAAACAAGATTACTGTGGTTTCCCTAAATAAATTCGTGGCCCCTGATCGTCTGTCGATCAGAGATAGCCCTTATCACAAATTAAATAAACAGCTCCTATCAAAATATTTTTAATCAATTAACTAGATTTTGACACTGTAAATTGCAGTGACAGATAACAAGAGGGCAAGATCCGAAATATACACACATTTAAAGAAGGTTCGGATAAGGATATGAATGATAACACTTGGCGCATCCCAATTTAATCCGATTAGAGGAAGCTGTTAGTCCAGTCATTAGGTTAATTAAAATGGCCGTAACGCGTTGTCAGGAAGGCCACCAGGGGGCGTGATTAGCTGGTGAACCGTCCACAGCAACACTAATCTATACCAAATTGTGTATCGATTTGTAGTTTGGCTGTGTTTAAGGCCTAACTGCATCCAATAACAGATTAATCTTTTTTGATGTCACAGGCAGGTATAGGTTATACACAGCGAAAAATTTCGTTTATTAAATTTTGAAACCGAGAAAAACAATATTTTGTCTTCTATAAGCTTTTTGCAATTTTCCTTGGTTTAGTTACTTGGAGCCCTGATAGGATTACGGCGACAATTTTCTTTGAGGTCGTTCCGCTTCCTGAATCATCAGTGGGTTACCAAAATGTAAACACAGCAAGGCCTCCCAATGCTATTCCGACCTTCGACTGTTATCACTTCCTGTCCGGAAACGCGTAATTCTCGTACGTTTTCGAGTGATTACAAATTTCCACGAGTGCATTTTAAACACCTCGAAATAAACCTTGAAAGGTGAGAAAAACAATTTTGTTGAAAAGACGTTTTCGGTTGTTTTCAATGTTGACAGCGCCGATGAAAGTTTTTAATGGAAGAGGAGACCACTATTTTCCGACCAAAACTAATGATTGTGAGCTCGATCCATCAAGATCGATCCAAGTTTTTTATGCGTGAAAGAAGAACAAGTTTCAGTCCTGAAGGAAACGCTAACGGTACCAATAAGTCTCGTGAAAATAATAGGTAATTGAAAATTGTAGACGAAACCGGGGCAATTATCTCATTGTGCGTCGCAATCGTCGGTGCAATAAAACACGGAATATAAAATATCTAATAACCACACTTAGGAGAGCATCGTGCTGCAAGAACTGGTTTTCAGAATAAATCAAGGTGCCTCGAGAAACAACAGCACGACTAAACAACTAACAGAGATATGAGGTAGATCGCAGCAGGTCATGCGGTTCATGGACTACTGGATCGTCGTAAAAAACTACGTTTTTTATCGCTCTCCTCCCAACCACAAAACTTTTCGTGATTTACTATTTACTTCGAGATCACTGGCAAATATTTACAAACTCCCGATTTTTACATCCTAGTCAATATTATGACAATACTCAAATCTCAAAACGACAAATTACAAACCTACACCTATCCAATAATGTCAAGTTCGAAGTTTTGGACTAATTAATGTATTTTAGTTTTTTTTTGTCGAAACATGAATAAATAACTAATTCCCACTGATCCGTCGGAAAAAATGGTTTAACGATTTGTTTTTCGCCCGCTCATTTAATTTCATGTTGATGATTTGTAATTCATTCGAATAAAACGAGGCTAATATTTTATTTAGCTCGTTTTGCTTGGTAGAGCCCGATAGCGCGTTTCGTTGCATAATTCACGAGAACGTTGTTGCAGCGTACTTTCCCTGCAACTTGGGCAGTAAATTTTATTCGCTCACTTTTCCCACATTAACGCACTTTTCCGCATTGACGCGATCAGCGCGCAAATTTAAGAAGACTTGTTTGTCAAGGTTAAAACTTTATTTCCGCAATCGTAAAGGTTACAAATTACATTATTTTTTTCTATCGTGTACTCGCCATGAGTCACAGACCTTGAAAAAGCCAAACACCTCAGCAGCTGATCGCGACGAACAACTAGTCTCGACTTGGAGGAAAACGCGTTAAAACAAGTCGCATTACCGCAAAGATCCGGATCTTCGTTGGATTTTCGACACCTGGATGAAAGGGAAACAGAACATCGCGTCTGGAAAATTCACAAACACCTCAGCAGCTGATTGCGACGATCAACTAGTCTCGACTTGAAGGAAAACGCGTTAAAACATGTCGCATTACCGCAAAGATCCGGATCTTCGTTCGATTTTCGACACCTGGATGAAGAGGAAACAGACATTGCGACTGGAAAATGCACACGTGCGAAAAATTGGCAACCTACGTGTACCAAACGTTTATTAAATACAGTTTCGGATTAAAATATATTAGAAATGATGTGTTATCGTAAATTGCGGCACGTGTATATAGATAACTGGAGACAAGCGGTCTAAATTACGCACGAGGACTGGAGGAGGAGGAATTGCAACCTACCTGAGTAGCATCAGAGTAGGGTGTTGCTGAATTTTTGTCAATTAGTTGTGAGCCGAATTTGGGCACAGCACTACTAATCGGTGTTTCTGACCTGGATGAATCCATGTTTTGTTGGGGCACCATATCCAAATTAGTAACTAAGTACACATTCACTTCACACTACCGGACAGAACGACAGACAGTCAACTAACTTTGCATTAAAATCTGTCTAAGTTCTCAAGTGTGTACACACTCGACTAAACTTAGCATATTTGTTGCCGACAATATCACAACAACAGCGCGACTGACAAGTTCAACTTGATGTTGTCAGTGTGTATCTGATTCTCAGCTGTTTATCCCCTCTACCGCAGAAGTGGGGGGAGAGCATGCGTTTTGTTGACGATATCCAGCTGATGAAGTCCAAAACAGAATCCACAATTTTCAAATTTTACAAATAAAAACCTCAAGTCTTTTTTTTTACTTCTCCAAACTTTAAAGTTCGAAAAAGTAGTCTTTTGCGGTGACTAGAAAATTGCACAAAAAATTGTCAACAACTTAAAAAAACGTGCGAGTTATATTTTTGCAATTTTTTCTCGAATGCACTTTCGCCAACATTAAAACAATTACAGCACCTCACACTCGTGATAGCAGAACAGCACTGACAATCTGCCTGAGCTTGAACTCGGTAAATCTACGTCCCCCACCAAGTTATATCGCTAGTTGAGGTTTTCGCCGTAAACAGCGGTGGCACCACTGCACAGCTTTAGTTGCGAGATGGTTAGTAAGTGTCTATTATTATTGAACAATGTAAAATACAAAATATTTAATTAATTGTAGCAAACGAAAATTAGTGATGGCATAGCAGTTAAGAAATTTTAGACCAGCCCACCTGTTAAATTTATAATATAACATAAATAATTGACAAAAAGCAATAAAAAACTTTATTACGTTAATTTTAATTAAATGAATTTGTAAGTTGTTTTGTAGTCGTTAATAATGTAGTATTAATAAGCCAACAGATCGTTTTAGCCTTGAATTTGCAAATTATTTTGCCAGGTCACGTCGAAGGTGTATTTCTATTAATAATTTAAAAAGATTGATCCTCTAATAGAAAAAATTAAATTATTTATTATAATATTGAGTAGTTGCATTTCAGGCAATGAAACCGGAAACTCTAGCTATTATTTATCACGAATACACTAAATCATACAATATAGTATCTTTGGACATCAAAACAATTCTTGTCAATAATAATACCTATTACCTATAGTATGTATGTATAGGGTGATACATTTTGGATGTCCGAATAGGGAATCTCTGTTTAGCCAAAAACGAGTAATCCTACCTTCTGGGGCGCATTTTTTGAGAAAATAATATTGGTTAAAACTGCATTCCCGCTATCGTCTTTTGTTTTCGACTTATAGAGAAAAATTGACATTTTAGCGAAATCTAAAAAAATTCATATCTTCGTTATTATAGAAGACACGGATTTGAAATAAAGACATACTCAGGCACTTTTTTACGTAGAATTTAATAATGTAATTAACATTTTTTTTCAGTTGTTTGTTTAGCCGTAATAAAATAAACTTTTATTTTTTATATGGGAATTATAGATGGCTATGTCATTTTTAAAAAGCTTGTTTTTTTCTAATCTAAAAAATATATATTTGTAACAAATTATTATAATACATTTTTAGCAAAAAATTATCTTTGATTTTTGTTCGCAGTTGGCCATGAAAAAATGTTGCATCTTCAACTAAAAGGATTTAAACTATATTATTCAACCAGTGTCACCAATGAAAGAGTTTTCTAAGTACTAAGTAATGAAAAAAATGCAGAATAAATCGTATATGAACTTATTGGCGACTAATTACATTTTTTTGTTTTTAACATTACCATTGCAAAATCTAGTGATACATAGAGTGTTGTAAAAAAATCCGCTTTAATTCTTCAATAAAATATATTTTAGGCGCTCGCATATTTGTTCATCACTTCTAACGTATCGTGTTTTTTAAATTTTTATAATTTTATCTATTTTTTCATCTGTTTTACAGTTCACAAAACTCTTATTGATTATTATTTACACATTTGGAGTGAAATAGTTTTTCCATGGCCAACTATTATCAAACAAAATATGTATTTCACTTTTTAAGTATAATTATAAAAAAATATTCTCTTTCAAATGTATATTTTTTAGATCAGAAAAAAAATTTTTTTCCAAAATTGCCTTAGCCGCCTATGATTTCCATTTTAAAAAATACAAGTTTATTTTATTACCTAAACCAATAACTGAAAAAAAATGTTAACTACATTATTAAATTTCTCGTAAAAAAGTGCCTGTATTTCAAATCCGTATCTTCTATAATAACGAAGATGTGAATTTTTTTAAATTTCGCCAAAATGTCAACTTTTGTCTGTAAGTCGAAAACAAAAGACGATAGCGGGATGCGGTTTTAACCAATATTATTTTCTCAAAAAATGAGCCCCTGAATGTATTACTCGTTTTTGGCTAAACCTCTTAGTTTTGGAGATTCCCTATTCGGACATCCAAATTGCAGCACCCTGTACATATGTGAAATATGATTAATAATGCAATTTTACATTACAGTTAATGATGAAATTTTCTGATAAAATATTTCACTCATTGACAATAAACACTTGAGAAAAAATAATATGTACTGATAAATTAGTCGTCATAATTCTTTTATGACATCATTAATACTATTTTTGAAAGTAGTTTGATACTTCCTATCAAGATAACATAAATGCAATTTTATAAATGAGAAAATACTTTACGCATTACGCTGCATGTTTTGAAATATTAGCACGTTTTAAAAACGCAACACTTCTCCTGGACTGATTGGATTTGTTGTAACTTTTTAAATTATGGATGAACCTAGTCTTGTGGGGAGTAGTCCGCAATAACATAATGTTGTTGACCAAATTGTGCTTCTTTAGCAAAACAGTTACTATTGGAGAACTTCCAAAATAAGGTTTTTATGCTCGCTCAGAAGCAAGTATAATTCTTAAGAATTTATAAAAAAAGTGCTGCACAATAGATAGGGAAAACCATATTTTACCATAATTGAGTTAGTGAAACTATCAATTTTTAACTCACACATACACAGACGTGTCAAATTAAGAAAAGTTTGTGTTGGCAAAACAGTATGAATGAAACTTCCATTTGGGTATAGTTGTTTAAAGTCATAATTTCTGATTTCTAGTTGAACTTAAAATGTTGGGTTTCGACATGGTTGCACCTGGGGTGCTGTTTAATTTCCATTTAAAGAGCCTATCAAATACAGCGGCGTTGAATTAAGTAATTTGTATAATTACCTCATTGTAAGTTCCACTCTAAGTACATGTGTGTAATTAATTCTATTTCGAAGAAGTTCTTCACTGTGTAATTTAAATAAACTTGTTGCAAAAGTGTGTTGTTATACTATTCCTCTATTCAGACTGTCAGAATTAGTTGAAAAAGAGACAGGTGGATTCTTGAGACCTTGATGATAAGACAATCAATTGCACTTTTAAGAATTTAACAAAAGCGGAATGACTTAATTCTAGGTTTAAAAACGTATTAGCATTTAAAATGAGTTATTTGTTGAATAGACTAGTTTGAATGACGTTATACTGCAACAAAAATCGAGCCACAATTTTCCTTGAAGTCCCAGACTGCGTGACTCCGAACGTTTAATAACATTCTATTAAGCCACTCAATGGCTTTGCGTATGTTATCGTATGCCAATCGCTTATTAATAATAAAGCATACTTTGTACTTTAAAATGCGGTCTTGGCATGAATTATTCAAATTTGCCTGTTCACTATTACCGTTCCGGCAATCTCGAGCAAAAATTCAATGGATGGCTTATTCAAAATTAATCTCTAGATAAACGATAGCTGGATAAACAATTTTTTTTTCAAATTGTTGTCAGTTAAAAATAAACATGACGGCATCAACTGAAAAAATGCAATGAAATTAAATGAATCATTTTATTTTTGTCTAGTCTGTAAATTTGTTTGTGTTAATTATTGACGATTAGCGAGTAAAAATTTGGCTGAAAGTCTACAGGTTGTTAGGCTCGATACACAAGTGGGCGATTCTGGATCTACACCTGTCGCTTCGACCACATCCGTTATGCATCCGTTTCCGTTACGCCTCAAACCTCTGGATCGATTTACCGACCGATTTGAGAATATTTGCCAAGAAGCACACATAATTAAATATTTGCAAGTATTAGCTCACATGATAAGATAACTAAAGTAAGCACAGCTAATTCCTAATTATTTTTGGACAAACAGTCAAAAAATTATTATTCTAATAAACAAATTTTACGGTTTTTATGAAATTGTTAAATATTAAGTCACAAGTTAATATTATACTATGACAGTTTGATTGTAAAGATAACTTATCTAATTGCTTTTCGAAAAGTTATTTACTACATATTTACCTACAGGTAAGGTGTAGATAGTTTAAATAATATACCAGTTTTTATGATACATAATATGCCAAGATCAGATGGTCATGAGTTAATTTTAAAAAATATTCTGAATATGGATATTTTGTGAAATAAACAAAAATACCTCAACGTCTATTTTAATTTAATTATACCAAGCGTAGACTGAAACTTCAAGCACAAATTTGCATTTTTACACTACGATTAAAGTGGATATTTTAGTTAGTTAGTGTTATAAATTATGATTATTTGATTATTTGCATAAGCGTAGATCATAATTTTTTTATACATATAGTCCATTATACAGGGTGTTCCATTTTTATTGTAACAAATTTAAACAGGAGATAGAATATTGAATTTTAAGATAAAAGTTTCCTATGTTTCCATGTATGGAAAAATACAATGTAAGGGGTGCATATTTTAATGGATTTTGTCCAATATTTTAGATAAAATTACAAAATTTGGTACAGTTGATTATCTTTATGTCAAAATTTTTAATCAGGGGCGTACTAAATTGGGAGGGTTTGGGATAAAAAGTATTATAACTACTTTGGCTGAAGGTCCTTGTTACTTTCAAAAACAAAAATTCTAAATTCCATAGTTTTTTACAAAAAAGAGGTCTTGTGTTTTTTCGATACAACTTACTCTTTTTGAGTAAAATTTTTTAATATTCATGTTACACTTGTTTTGTTGTGTTTTTTACCGAAAAAACATTGGTCAAACTTGGTCGAAAATCAAACTATTTTTGCTTTTTTGAACGTTTTAACATGTTTTTAAGATAAATACTCAAATTTTGAATAAGATTTCATCGAAACAAGATAAAAAATCACGAAATTAAATCGAAAATTATGTTATTTTTCACTTTCTCAAGTGTTTAAGAAAGTTCTTCAGTCAGAAATGAAATAATTTTGCAAAATTTTGTCCAAACCAGTCGAAAAGTCGATGAAAATTGTGCTATTTGTGCTTTTTTAAGCTAATAAACTGTGTTTTTTTCGTTAAAACAGACCAAAACTCATCAAATTAGATCGGAAATGATAATATTCTTGTCGGTTCAATTATTTTTGAACTTTTTTAGTATAAAATTTTGTTCAAAAAAGCCCAAAAATTATCAAATTAGATCGAAAATTATGCTATTTTTTACATTTTCGAGAGTAAAGAAATGTTTTTCAGCTAAAAACTTTTTTCCCGCAAAATTT